TTATTATTATTATTATTATTATTATTATTATTATTATTATTATTATTTTGCTCCCCGGGTTCCTTTCTCAAATAGATAGGACAGAACATTCAAGCTTTTATTTACTTTGGGGGAAATGGGAAGAATTTTAAGGAACTACTGATTGAGTGCTTCAATATTAGAAAGGTGTAAGGCATTCTTTTTTAACTCTTAACAGATAACAGATAATCAGAGTTGGAAGGGACCTTGTAGGTCATCTAGTCCAACCCCCCGCCCAAGCGGGAGACCCTACACCATTTCTGACAAATGGCAGTCCAATCTCTTCTTGAAGGTCTCAAGTGATGGCGTTCCCACAACTTCCGAGGGCAAGCTGTTTCATTGGTTGATTGTTCTCTCTGTCAGAAAGTTTCTCCAAAACTTTATCTTAAAACTTCTCAGCTCTATAAATTTGGCCTGACAGATATCACATCTTTGGAGTGCAAGTTTCAACATACCATGCCATGGTCAGAATAGCTCTTGAGTTGTTAGAAGTTCTCCAGATTGATCTCAGTTGATCCAGGAGATTTGGTGATCACATGCAGATATTCTCTGCTAAGTCTACCATATAAATGCAGGGGCCCAGTTATTATTGTCATCTCCATGAATAGGTGAGAAAGACTTAAACCTTCCCTCTCCAGGATTTTGGTTCGTAAAATTCCTTCCTTTTGTACTTATTTTTCAAATCAAGCAACTAGAGCGCACACTTCCCCTTCTACTCAATACATGCAGAGAGGTTTTACCAGACTCAAGCATCTATATACTTCTGAAAAGTTAAACAACCATGACAGATAGTTGTATACTAAATATACATTGTATTGGATACATAAGCAATGATATATAGGAAACACAGACCTTCTTCTGAATCCACTTCATTTCCTTCTGGGTAGAAGCCACACTATTCAATATCCATGACATCAATTGGCTGGTTGAGAAAAAAAGAAAGGAAAAAAGAAGATTCTCTAACCACACAAAATAAAAGAAAATTATACTGAAAAAAATAAACATTGAGGGGTGAACTATTGTGAGCAATTATAGGCAAGTAGCAACAGTTTTACTGTTATACCACTCTGCTTCTCTCATGCACCAAGTCTTTTTAGAATATTTTACTAGTTTTTTTTAAAAAAAAAAAGAGATTAAAAACTAATACAAACTAATATAAAGCAAGAAAAAGAAAAAAGAAACAAATCAAAGAGAAAGTAAAATGCAAGAAAGAAAAAATAGCAAAGAAAAAAAAGTATAATTATACATTATACAACATAACTATCTTCTTTCTATAATCTGTCCTGACCAATCATCAAAATCATAAATCATATGTTCTTTTTTTTTTCATTTTACACTAATAGTCTGTAAGGGGTTTCCAGCCAGCAATAAACATAGACTTTGTCTTTTCTCTGATCAAAGAACTCAATTTAGCCATCTCAACAAGTTCCATTAGTTTTCACCAATCATTAAGAGAGTGCCAAATCTTTCCATCTTTGCACATTCTATACAATGATTGTATACATCATTGGTAGCCTAAGATAATATAGATTCTTTTAAAGTGTTAGTCCTTTCAGATAGTCCAGGCAGGAAACCAAAAAATGAATACTCATGCTACCTTTATTGTAAGGTTACAGAAACAGAACTTTGAAAGTTTGAAAGTGTTTTCTGCCTTTACTTTACAGATAAGTAGGAAGAGTTCCTTCTCCACCCCCATCGTTCAGATTTGGATGCAAATTTCTCTTATCAGACTGTTGTCTAGGCTAAATCCCTCCCTCCTGACTCCCAAGGTTATTTTCACATCCCATTACATAAATGATAAATGCGTGAGTGTAGTTTCGGCCAGCTGGCTGAGACATCACTTCTAAAATGTGGTCTTCCTGAGAGGAAAACAGGGCCCAATAAAAAGGGGTTCAATCATGCAGCTATTGCTGCTGTCTTGGATTATTTTATAACTCTTTCTCTTGAAATATCCTTAGAGAAAAGGAACATCTGGAGCCTTATATACTCTCTGTGTTTGAGAGAAATGGCTTTGAGAATTAATCATGTAAATGAGGGATACCCCTACCAAAGAAAATCTCCAGAATTTGGATTTAAGTTGCTATTAAGCACAGCCAACATGGCCAATGGCAAAGGATTTGGGGAACCACAGTCTAAAACATGATGGCCATTCTGTTACTTTCCCGCATTCTTTCACTTTACTGTCACCTCACAATTTTCATTATTTCCATGGTCCTTCTAATCAGAATACCAAAACCCATTATCCTCTTATTTTTAATTGTCTTGTCCTTTCCCTTAGGCTTTCTCTTGCTCAGGTCCCTCAGATCCAAGTTGTGCTTGATTTGTGCAATAGGCAGAACAAGAAATACCATGTACAGCACCCTTTCCACTATCAAATGATTCCACCCCAAGGATTTGTGTAGAAGTAGGAATTTTAAATATATATTTTTCATTCCCTGAAGACGTGAGGGTAGAAAGACAAATACTTCCTCTTCTTGCTTACTGTGCAAAATTAAATGCGCAGAGGAGGCAGCCAGATGATGTTACTGAAGAGTGTTCACCTCTCCTAGCTTTTTGCCATGGGCAGCCTGGGCGGTAACAGGAAACATAATATGCCAGGAATATTAAATTAATGCTATTATGTCTAGGCTGAGATGAAGCACATTCCACGGGAGTAAATAATCCTCAATATCCAGTTCAGGTAAATGATTTTTTTAATCAGTGGGTTAATATAAAGACAAATGATCAATCCCAGGTATGCAGCCTTGGAGCTAGACAGGCAAGTAGAGAAATTGGCTGTTAAGGCTTATGTCAGCAGCATTTAAAACAAAAAGTCAAGTAGGGTAGGGTAGTTCCATTGTTTAGCAAGCAACCAAAAGCCTAACTGGAATGGATGAACAGCCCTTGCCTTCTCAGACTGAAAGAGAGGCAATGTGGTACAATGGTAAGTACAGTAAGTAACATTTGGTTCAGCTATGGCACTCACAAAAGTTTTCAGTTGTGAAAACTGTGTTCTGGGTAAGTTATCACCATACCTGATCACGTCAACCTGATTTTCTAATGAAGACTTTAAAACTTTTGAAATGGATCCAATGATTCAGGGTGGAAGAAGCAGTTTTGTAAAATGTTCCATCTTTCACAGAAAGATAAGCCAGAAACCTGGTTTTGCCAATTCTTCTGTCTGTTTCTGGTGGGAACGGGGAAATTTGGTGGGATTTATTATGCCAAACTGCACAGTTCATTTCCTCACCAAATCAATTGACAAATTGAAGCATTAAAAAACACTTTTGGCTTGTTTTCTAAGAAGGAACAGTTGCATTTGCTTTTCAAGATATTCCCCTTTGTTTTGTTTCTATGAAAACTTGGCATGTGGTTGTCATACACGTAGATGTGAATCTTAATCACTGTTCTTCTGAGTAAACCTCACTTGTGGGTATATGTGTGTTTCCTTTTTAATTGTATATTTCTGAAAGTTTCATTTGGTCTGTTATTGTCTGCTGTTTCTGAATCCTGACCTTTTATTTGAATTTGGAAACCCAGGCCCCTCTTGTTATTTGTGTATTTTCCTCCCTTTTTCAGAGAAAAGGCTATTTTTTTTAAAGACCTGGGTGACATGATTTACTTCAAACAGATTATGCCTTTTATCAATTGCAGCCCTTTCCTCTTTTTTTTTTTTTTTGCTCCTCTTCAGTTTACAACAGAAATGCTCAACAACATCAACTCGCTGTGCTCTTTCAGCAAATAAAGATTTTGAAAAGGTTAAAGAAAAAGCAGCAGCTGCTTTCTGACCATTTTCCTGAGAACCAACCATTTAAGACACTAAGAATAATCAAAGGGAATGTTCAGAACTCTGCTCGTCTAATGACAGACATCTGGAGCCCAGAGGGAGGTCGAGGGATGCATGAGGGATGGGGAGAAGCCTCAGAAGACGGAGAGAAAATAAAAGTCATATTTCAGCTCATTGTAGCTCCTTTGGAATTTTGCCCATAAATCATAGCTTCAGCTTAACACATGTCTCTAATTGCAGGCATTGCTACATCTCAGCTACATCTTAGTTAGACTTTGGGACAAGAACCATTCTCAATTTACGAGTGGTTTATGGAAAGAGAAGCTGTAGAGGAAGGCAACTGGTTAACACTGATCCCCCTTTTCAGTGGCCTTTATCCTCTTTAATTTAATTTAAAGTTCCCTAACTTGCATGGCCTGGTTCAACACATGTGCAGCTTATTGACAATACCCCTTGCCTCTAACATTTATTGCTGGCTTAGTAAGCATTTCCGTAACCTGTTTGCAATTGCTAGCAGTTTTAATAAAGTCTTTATTATTTCTACAGGTAGTCCTCGACTTAAGACCACAATTGAACTCAATATTTCTGTTACTAAGCAAAACAGTTATTAAGTGAATTTTGCCCAATTTTAGATCTTTCTTGCCACAGTTGTTAAGTGAATCACTGCAGTTGATATGTTAGTAATCTGGTTGTTAAGTGAATCTAGCTTCCCCATTGACTTTGCTTGTCAGAAGGTCACAAAAGATGATCACATGATCCCGGGACACTACAACCGTCATAAATACATGCCAGTTGCCAAGCATCTGAATTTTGATCACATGACCATGGGGATACTGCAACAGTTATAAGTGTGAAAAACAGTCATAAGTCACTGTTTTCAGTGGTATTGTAAATTCAAATGGTCACTAAATGAATGCTTTTAAGTCGAGGATTACCTGAATGCAAATTTCAGCTCTGTTCTTCTCCATTTCAAACTCTATTTAGGCTTTCAAAGACAAATGATTCCTCTTAATTTTCATGACACAATCCTTACAACAAGTAAGAACCTCGAAGAATAGAATTTTTTTTCTATGTTCAGAAAGAACAAAATGGTAACCACAGCTGTGAAATATCATTTTAGAAGCTGATCCATACACAAGTTTTTTTCTCCCAGAAACATTATCTATGTATTCATAGACACAGAGTCCTGAAACCTGACAAATTGTTCCAATTCTCCATGTACATTTTTAACCTGCAGGATTTGTTCAGGAGCTCCATAGCAACTCTACAAGCTGTTTATATGTTCCTCATTTTAGTAATTCCAAAATAAACATCACCAGAATTTTGAATCCCTTAATCAGTGGAATGTCCTTTTCTAACTTTCTCCAGTATGTTTTACTTTTCTTACAATATCATCAAAGGCCAAATGAGACATGACGATGGTAGATTAAATCTTAATCTCAGATTTGCTGTCTTGTATTTTTTTAAAAAAACAGACAGTGGGAAGCTTCCTGATTTAAGTAAATGTCTGTGTATCTGTGGTGGGATTCAAATGTTTTTACTACCGGTTCTGTGGGTGTGGCTTGGTGGGTGTGGCAGGGAAAGGATACTATAAAATCTCCAGTCAGAGGTGGTATTTGCTGGTTCTCCAAACAACTCAAAATTTCCACTACCGGTTCTCCAGAACTGGTCAGAGCCTGCTGAATACCACCTCTGGTGTGTACATGTATTCATAAAGTATTTTTAAGGAACTCAGGAATTCAGCCATCTCCTCTGGCTGTCCTGTGGCAATGGCTCCCACTAAGTGCTCCCTTCTGAATGCTGAACTGGTAGAAACTTTCCTCTGAAGAAAGAGTGAGGATCAGGGGTGGGATTCTACTGGTTCTGTCCGACTCTGTAGAACCAGTAGCTCTGAAGAACAGCAGACATAGAACCGGTTCTATGTCTGCTGCTGTTTTGGCCCACCCGCCTGCCCGGGCTCTTACCTGACCTTTATTTCCTGCTTTTTCAAACTCAGCTGCCATGCGAGGCATGGCTGCAGTTGAAAAAGCAGGAAAAAAGTGCTTTTTCAAACGCTGTTTCCCTGCAGGCAGCGCTGCTCAGCTGTCCAGGCAGCAAGCTGACACAGCAAGCTGACGAAAATTTACACGCGCACGCAGCATGCAGGGAAGCACATC